GTATCTTCTCCATTCATATAAGGTGTTTTTGCTGAAAGTGTGGAGTACATGTCTTATGTGTTGAGAAGTTTCTGTTCTACTTCTAGTCTCCTGATAGCTTTTACCATAAATAGCTGTAGAATTTAGTCCAATACTTTTTCTCCATCTAGTGACAGGATCATATGGTTTTTTTCCTTTCCTCTGTTAAAATGATGACTTTTGGGGGTGGATCTTTCAACGCTGAACCAACACTGCCATCCCTAAAACAAAACCACTTTCTACATATGCCAGATCTGATTTCTAATAGTTTATTTTGTTAAACAAATTTCTATGTTCATACTTTTTTCTTCTATTATCTTTATCCAGTTTTAGGATTAACACAAGGTTGATTTCCTAAAATGAGGGGAGAAGTGTTCCTTTTTTTTCTACTTTAAATGTTTTATATAATTTCTCATCTAAAATGTATACAAGCCTGCTGTTGTCATATAGGTAGATTTTCAAGCTAGGAATATACTTCCTTTAATAGGTGCTATTCAAATTTTCTATTTCCTCCAGAGTTAGTTTCATTAATTTGTCTTCCATGGTACTTCCTAGAAGTTGTCAAATTTATTTCAAAATAGATTTTTGTTATATGCTTTATATAGCCTTTTAAATTCTGTAAAAATCTGTGGTAATGTCTCCTAGATCTTGATATTTTAATTTTAAAAATGTATAATTGATGTTGTGTAAAAGGAAGAAAAGTTCTAAAAGAACGGGGGAAGTGGGAGGGGTAGGGGAAAGGAAAGAAAGGAAAAGAAAAAATATGAGAAAAGGAAAAAAAATGGAAACAAAGTCTTTGCAAATAAGGAAAGGTGGAGGGGGTGAAGGAAGGGCAGGGGAAGGGGAATAAAATAAGAACAAAGATACTCGTGTAATGGCACAAGATCCCAATGATGTATGTAACTGTATTTTATACCTAAAATGTACCAATAAACTTAATGGCAAAAAAAAAATAATGTACAGAAGGGTTGTATCACACTAAAATCTACTGGTTTGTGTCTAGCTGCAGGTATTTCTGAATCCACCTTAACACTTGGTGAAAGATTCCTCCTTTAGATTAACCTAATTGGTTTATTACTGAATGGATGATGTTTGTTAGACGTTATCTCTAATAACAGTATATGTTTTACAAATTGCTTTAGTTTTCTGGTAGGTGTGCTGTACTTTAAAAATAGGAAGTATCATTGATAGGAAGATTCATTTGGGTTTGGAACATTTTTATATAATATCAGTTTTAACAAAGCCTTAGCAGCAGCTTTAAAAAACTTTTTTGTTTATTATCATTGACAATTTGCCTAAGATCTCTCAAGGAGAGTCAAAAAGTTCTGTATTTTGTTCATTAAAAAATTTGCATTCTCCCATAATTTTTATCAAAATAAATAATTATGGGAAAGAATATGTACTAATAAAAAATAAAGACTGAAAAAAGTTAGACAAAATAATGAAGAAAAAATATTTAAGGTCTTTCAATGAGATAAATTATAAGCACATATTTCTGTTTTAAACATATATACACCTATATACAGTTATGTGTACATATTGATATTTCTTTGTTATATATACACTAACATTAAACTTATATTTATCTGCATGTTCATTAAATGTGTTATATCACTTAATGTTTACATAAAGTCCCATTAATGTAGTTAATATAGTCTATTTTACTAAATAACACATATATTTCAGGGAGACATTTACATCTTAAACATTATTGCTATTACTTGAGGAATACTGGTATTTGGCCTAAAAGTGGAACCACAAGTGTCTGAGTTATGTTGTGCTAAAGTCGTTATGCAAATACAACCAGAGAGTGACTGACAACATTCTACCATTACTATTTCCTTCCCCTATTTTTTCAGTCTATTTGTCTTTAGTCTTAAACTATGGCTCCAATAAACAGTGTATTGATAACCCTGAAGGGGTTTTCTTTCTATTTATAGCCAGAGACAATACCTGTCTTTCATTAGAATGTGTAGTGAATGTATGTTGGAACAGTACTGGTGACTAAGCACAGTGCTCAAGCACTCTGCTATTAGTGCTCATTACAAATAATCAGTTATTATTGCCCTATTCTTTACCTCCTCTTGGACTAGTGTCTTATATTTAGAATGTATTTGTAACCTCTATATTGATTTCTTTCTAATATATCTCTGTATCTAGGCCCCCATCCTAATTATTTCTCTGGTGGTAGATATTAGTACATCAATTTATCATGATTTAGAATTAATGTCAAGCCATTTTAGATATAGTTTAAGAGCATTAAAACAGTAAAATTACTTGTAAAGACAATTAACCATTGCAATTTTGTTTGTTTATTTGTTTGTTTTTTG